TACGCTTCAACCCTTCTTCTCCCTCCCTGTCGTACACCTCCCGGCGTTCCTCGTTGGAGAGGATCGTGTATGCATTCGAGGCAGTGGCAAACTTTTCTTGGGCGTCAGGGCTGTCGATGGCGAAGGGGGAAAGTAAATGAGGGAAAGAAGGGACATAAGTTGTGACCGACTCGCCAAGCCCAACTTTAATTGGGATGCTTGGAGTCAACGAATAGTACTTGTTACATCAATTACATAACCCAGCCTCAAGCTTGTCGTCAGGAAGGGCTGCAGATTAGTAGCTCACGTGCGCCCCTCGAGAGACGCAAAACGCCAAGGCAAGTTCATGTACACGCACCTGTTGTTTTTGTCGGGGTGCAGATCTAGTGATAACTTGCGCCAAGCCTTTTTTATTTCCGATTGTGAAGCAGACCGTTTTACGCCCTGTGTGAGTGTTGAAGCGATGAGCACAAGGATGAAGAGGGGTGGGGGGTCGTTGAGAATGGCATCACTCCTTTTCGCGCCCCCTGGGACCAACTCGTACACAATTCGCATTGCTACGGCGGCCTATCATTTGAAAGCGGCGACATGCTCCATTCCGAGAGATTGAATCCTACCAGTCCTCTCTCATTAACTCCAAGGTAACCTCACCAGGGTTTTGTAGTAGTCCTCCGCTCCGTGCCCACGCAGAATAAAGATCAACAAGCAAAGACTGAAAAGCATGAAAGAAGAAGAGCGTCTTTGACTTCTGTTGAAAGTCAGGAATTGGAATGCTTTCTGTGTGCGTAGCTTGTCTTCCGGTAGATGCGGCATGGTGGAAAGGTGGCTGATGACGAAGAGGTCGTCGGGGACCGCGCGAGAGCCTTTTTCACGAAATAAATGGCGAGCGAATACCTAGGGGCTACCGCCAATGACGTACGAAACAGATACAAGATTGTGGGGTGCGAATGGAATTCCGTGCTACATTTATTGCGTGGGTGGTGTGAATTTTAGGGGCGAGGAGAGCGGGGCCATGGGTGCAGGGAGGGGGAGCACGGGATTTCAAACAACAAGTGAGTTGGCGATAAGTACGTGTCGGCCCACAGGCCTCCCCACTGGCGCACCCACAAATCATGTCTTGTACTGTTCGGTTGCACTGTAATTGATGCGGCATTTCATTCCTGTACTGGAATGAGCTTGCGAGAGCGTATCTTTTTGCACGCAAAGTAGACGCCGTAAGAGCTGTCTTTTTGGCACCTACTGCCCTTGGGCTCCGGCGTCCATGAGTCGACACGCCCACTTTTCCCACTAATGGCCATATTGTAACAGCGTTTCGTTGCCTACCGTAATGATTGAATCATATCCTTGTGGAAGGTAGTATGGGGACTTCCTCGAATCCAACGTGTGATACCACTTGAGGTTATTGAAGGTCTTGTAGTCGTCATAAAGGAACCATTGTATCGAATTGTGTAATTGCTTCTGGAAAGACGGAAAGAGGAGTTTGAAGGGGAACAAATGCGCCGCATGTTCAGCTGTATATTTAAAGGCGTTGATCGACCATTTAAATCCCCGAGTAACTGTAGACTAGCATTGTGCTCAAAACAGATCATATGAAGGACGACGGACAAAATTATTCTCCCATTTCTTTTCTTCAATTTAAAAATGGGATATCATCCTGAGCACCTAAGAAGTAAGTCGTGCGAAACGTTTGTCGCGGTAGGTTCTCGAAGAGCACAAGATGAAGAATAAAAGGCACCTAACAGTTTTGACGCGCTCATACCTGACAAAATACACGACACCTTACTGTTTATTCGCCCCTGACACGGAAATCACAAGTACGAGACAATCGAGACGGTAATTACACCTTGTGCTCGATATTCGGCCCTCCCTTGTTCCACTTTCACCCATTGACCAGGCCCCAAACAAATTATCGCAGAATCCGCATGGTTGAAAGCTACAATGAGACCATATGAAACAACACAGTTGCTTTCAAGATAAAAACTATTGTCTATACCGCGGTTCTGTAACGTGCTAGATCCTACCCACCCTTGTTCTCAATGACTAGACACCGAAAGTGGAGAAAAAATCCTCGTCCTTCGCAAGGGCGGCTTTCGTCCCTTGCGCCGACTTCGCCGACGTGTCAGAGATACGGACATTAGACACGAAAGCATCCACATCCAAGTCTAAGGCATCGTCACCGGAAGCAGCGGCGACAGCGGAGGAAGAGGACGAGGAAGGAACAGGGGCACTTCCACCTGAAGGCAGCGGCCGAGGGGGAGGTGTATTCCGCAGGCCGCTAATAGACATGGAGGCTGCCGCGGTCGGAGCCCGTCTACTTGCCTCCTGCCAGCCCCCGTTCTGGTCGTGAGCTGCGGCTCCGAGAAAGTCTTCATCGTCGTCGTCCCATCCATCCCCTTTCCGGGCGCCTGAGGTCTGCGGCTGGGTCGCAGCGTGGAGGGGCGCCTGAAGACGGCTGCTTCCGCTCCCGTCTCTTTCGTAGCTGCCAAGATATGGGGCATCTGCCCCTCTGTCCAGCATGGAGGTTTCTTCCTCGCTGCTGCTGTTCCGCAAGTCTTGCTGAAATCGACCCATATTCCTTCTCCCCCCTACATTGCCAGCACCACTCCTGCCCTCTGCCCTTACTGCAGCTCCTGTTCCCCTTTCCTCGCCTTCCCCCAACCTGTTGTAGAAGCGAATGGGCTCGTCCTCCTCCTTGGTAATGTCCCGGACCAAATCCACGGTCAAGTCGGCCGTTTTGCTCCACAACGTCGCTGCCCCCGTGGCCAAGGCCGACCACCCCGAACTCGCGCGCTCCTTCACTTTCGAGGCGAGTTCCGGATCCTGGACTCGGCTCTGCACCGTGCTCCAACTCGCCTGCAGCTTCTTGCCAAGCTGACCCTCCTGTAGCTGGGCCTGCACGGTCGACCCCCATTTCCCCACCGCCCCGATGATCTCATTCCCCAACTCCTGTCCCTTCCCACCTCCAAACCTCCCGCGGGAGGGATCGTAATCGGGATCGCTCCCAAAACCCTGCATTCGACCCCCCCCCCCTCCTTGGAATCCACCGGGTCCGAATTTCGCTTGCATTCTGTGTCGCGCCTCATCGTTCAATTGTCGCTGACGCGCCACGTACTGATCTTGAGTCTCGCCTGGCAACGGCTCCAATGCTGACACTCCCTGACCCCCTCCGCTGCTAGTAGCGGGCCCTTGTCCCAAGCCACTGGCTGAAAGAGCTCGCGCGCCAGCAGGCAGCTCGGTCGGCGGCTCTCTTCCTTCTACCACCGCCTTTATCCGCTCTCGATACAATTCCGCTTCAGCCGTCTTATATTTCTGCTGGATCGGAACACTTTTAGCAATTCCCCGCTGCTGGAAGAAACTTATGACCTGGTCGTTTCCCCCCTTTTCCATAAGCTTTATCTGTTTGTCAGTCCAACTGTCCATGGTGATCGAACGGACGAAAGAGAGATGCACTCCCAGAGCACGATGTTGCCCCGAGCAGTCTAGGCAAATGAAGGAGCCATACGAGACGCTCGCCCACTGAGGGTTGGGAGCAGGGCAGTCCGCGCAAACCTGAGGGAAAGATTGATGATTCAATCACAGGGAATGGGCCACAAATGACGTTAGAGGTAAGATTTTCCTTTAACCTAGACCTCAAATGCGCGAGACTGTACGAAATACAAATTTCTCGCAGTATTAGTGCAAAGATCAGCAGGGAAACTAGCATCGCTTTATTTGATGTTTACGGAGGAGGTCCATCATGCATGCTTTGTCTGGGTCTTCGACAAGTAAAACGTATGCCACGCGGTTGCCCCCAATTTGAGCGCACCAGGAACAATCTGAAGCACAGATCAATTAAAGATCACAACATGGAAATCGTTTATATGCGAGGGCTCACCCATTTTGACCCCCACTCATGACCAGTCGTTACACATGCTAGAAGCGTACCTTGTTGCCTGCCAACTCTCGCAAGCGGCGCTCTGTGACGCTATCCATGGAGTGGGCCATCGTACAGCAATGTGATTGGTAGAATAGCCTTGCTATTTAGAGAGTGTGATTCGTATGATGTGAGCACAGAGGTGAAGCACTCAACAAGTATTTTCAGGAAGCCAAGAGGGGGGCCCGTCAGGGGCATGGTGTGATCAAGGGGTATAATGCGCCCCCACGAGGTCTCTTACTTGCTTTTGCATCATCGTAGGATACCTGCTGAATGCATCTATTCTTACACAGCGTTCACTTCACGTACACTTAAGAGACGCGGAAATGCCATGCGTACAGTACCCATCACTTGGCCCCGTCACGGCGGACGTTTCTTGTCAGTTGGAAGACGTCGCTGTCCCGTAACGTTCCTCAACGTCCAGCTCAGGTCCAAGCCCGTGCACCCGGGGGGTGGCCAGTAAACTAGCTTACGTGCACGGAGCCTGCGCGCATATACGGAAAAATGCATGCATATGGTCGGCGACACAAAACTTGGTGTGCACGGATGACTCGCTTCATAGGGAAGCACCAATTTTCCCACCTCCATGACATGGAACGGACCTCGGCACCTTCCCTACAGTCATTTAGGATTTCCACCTCTGACTGGGCATCATGAATAATGATCAGGTCTTTCAAAGAAAATATTTGTGGGAAACCCACACGTATCTTCTCAGTCCATGAAAAGGTGCTGCGGATGATCACAATCCGAAGCAACAAGGACCAAGGAAGGGCCCACATGGAGGACGTCTCATAACTAGTCACGAGCCTATATCTCGACGACTTCCACCTGGCCAGGATATCAAAAGACACCGTGCTTTCTAACCTACCTATCGCACTCAAACCTCATCCGACACTTCTGCATTCCTTTACCGAGGACGAGCTGTTCTCTGTCAAGGACGATCCGCGAAGGACAAGACGATCGATGCCGCCACCTGCTGTGTTACAGCTGAGAAATAACTGACACAGGATACGCTCTCAGTTTCTGGAAACACATGTTAGGTATAAATGTCAGAACAAGAAGTACTATGTTTATCTCCATCCGTCACACACGCTCAAGATGTAGGCTAAAAAGATCTGACATGCACTTAAGGTCCTTTTCTATAGAAAAAGACAGCACAGACCCACTAGCGCTGCCTCGCATGCCCGAGGCGCACTCCATCTCGCTGGGCGGGAACCGCGACAGGGTGCATCGCCAACAACTCTGCACACTCTTTGTGATTGTATTTGTTGGCGAATGTCGATGCCGTATGACCATCAGCTGTTTTTAGGCACGGATCTGCGCCTAAACTCAAGAGCTCCTTGACAGTTGCTAGTTTGCCATGGAAAGCAGCCGCCATCAGCGCAGTTTCGCCCTTTGCGGGCCGGCTAAAATTGACACTCACTCCAGCGTGCTGAACTAACGCCAAAATGGGGTCAAACCCTTTCTTCACGTCCTTAAATGCGTCCCAAATAGCCCTATCCATCCGTTCACTCAATCGATTGACATGGCCGATCTCCGTCAGACGGCTTCGCCTCTCGGCACCCTTGCAAAAGATGATCGAAGAGCAATGCTCGCACCTACCACACTTCCCACACCGAAGCGTAGATAGCTGACTTTGACAGTGCTGGCATGATTTACTATAAGAGGTCTGTCTGGACGTTGCCCTTATGGCTTCAAGTACATGGCTGCGCATGTAAGTAGTGCGTTTGCCATGATCGCCTGAGTCTTCTTCATTTGGCAAGAGGAAATCAACTTTTTTAACAGCCGTAGTCCGATGCGCGATCTTCTCCCTCGCAAGCTTACGGGGATCTCGAGGCACAGAGGAAGCGAGCGAGGAGGCGGGCAAGGCGGTCGGGGCAGGAAAGCCCGAAACGGTATTGCAAGCTGCAACAGGAGCGAGGGAAAAGGCAGAAGGGCCTTTTTCATAGGAATCTTTTCTCTTTCCCTGTCTACCTATTGCAGCGGTCTGCTGGATGCCTCGAGATGACGGGGAAAGGGGCGGGGATACTACCGGAGAACCAAGTTCGTCGGTGTCTTCTTCCAGATTTCGCTCGGGGGAATAAATGACACAAGCGTTGTCATCATCATCGCACGCAAGAGTAGGGGATGTTTTGTCAAAAACGTCGTTCATGGGCTTCAGCATGCGCCTCCTGTCAGTTTCCACACTTGTGCCAGTATCTTTACTTAAAGCCATAGCAGTGAGGTTGGGAGACTGCTCAATTTGGTGATTTTCGGTGTGGGCCCGGCAAGAGACTAAAGCACTGTCTGGTAGGACTGGAGGAATTTGTAGCCTGTCGAGTTGCTCCATAAGACTAGGTGTGTGGGGGGGGGGGGGATAATTCTCAACCTCACGCTCAACGTTAAATACCTTATTCAATAAACCGTCGACCTTATCCGCGACCCTGCGGTAATGCTCCTTCCCCTTTTAACGCACCTCAGTATCTTTTGACTAGAGTCATACCATAAAGCGGAGGAAGGACGTGATAAACGCTGTAGGGCGCTAGAAAGCAGCCCACGCGGCACACTCTCCTCTTCCTCCGACACACGTTTAACCAACGCCGTCAGCCGATGCAAAATGGATTTCTTACAGTACGCAACTACGTCCCACGGAATACTCAGCAACATCTCAGCGTAGCCTCGCTCCTTCTCTTTGCCCAACGCGCTCGCCCCTACGCACACTGCCTTCGCGGTCCTCTGAATGATCTCTTGCTTCAGGGTCGGTTTTCTTTTTTTGGCATTTGATGACTTCAAATAAAAATAGTTCCGCAGCTCGATCAACAGATCCTTGGAGACCATGATCTCCACGGGTTCGCCTGCCTGTCCTTTCCGCGGGATAATCCGCAAAAGGGCATCCCCAACACCCTGTAGCATTGCTCGGAAACCGCATTCGGAGAGCGTGGAGCGTGCCTTCACGCCAAACACTTCGCCCAGGGGGTCCGTGGGAGGCGGCAAGTCCCCCACGTTTTGGAACGGACACGGAAGGAAAGCAGGGTCGGCGGAGCAATGGCCGTGTAGACTCGAAATATGCGCGCAAAAGGTGGCGCGAACGATGGTCACTGCGAGTTCAAGTTGTTCGTCCTTCTTAATGGAAACTGAAATGCCATCCCGTGCCTTTCCGGCAGGGATTTGTCCGCTTCCTTTCGCCTTTTTCACGGAAAATCCACAATTTTGATCGCTACGCCCTCGTTTACGACCGAGGCTTCCGTTGACGCTGTCGCCCTCGCCCTGGATGAGGGATCCTCCCACCTCGTCTCCCGCGGGAGGGGCAAGGCTCGTGTTTCCACCGCTGTCGCGCAACGAGGAGAGAGAGGACGAGGAGGAAGAGGGAGAAAAAGTGGGCTTTCCCAGATCTTTCTCTGGTAAAGACAAGGTCACTAGGTAGCCATGCTCTCCCTGCCTTATCCTTCCACGCCCTACAGCTCCCGTCTGCACGAGGCCTCCCTTTGCATGATGTGAGAAGCTCTTCCCTAACTCTTTCGACGTTTGCTCCGGAAATGGATTGAACGAAGTCTCTGCTTCTCTTTCGCTTCTTCTCACTCTCTCTGGCACGTTGACAAAAAAGCGGGATCCTTCTCTGTCCCACCCTCTCTCCCAACGATCTCTCTCCCAATCACGGCGAAGCTGGTCCTCCACTCCCCACTGCTCGTGTTGTCGACTGGACTCGCCACGCTCGAGGCCACCGAAGCGTGAGTGAGATTGCGCAGGCGGGAACGAACGAGACGGCCAAGGAGAAGCGAAGGCGTGGGCGGGCGGAGGGGGAATCGCGTGCGAGTGTAGGCCAGAGGGTACGCGAGGCCGACGCCAACCTCGTCCCTCATCCAAATCTTCAAGTGGCATCGCCGTGGAAGGAAAGGAATGATCCGAAGGACCGTCACATTCTTCCAACGAGAGCAAAGGGGGGGGGTCGTGCTGTCTCGGCATCCTGGGTGGCGAGTACGAGACAGGAAACCCCCCTCGTCGGGGCTCCCGCCCATGGCCCTCGGCCGGCAGTGCATGAGAAAGGGTGGGAGGGAGAGCGTGAGGATGATGCCGGTCCTCAAACGGAATGTGCGGCCGATGGTAAGAACCAAGCCAGTCCGTGCTTGCATCACGGTGACGTCGCAGGCTGAGATGTCTCTTTCCCCGCAAGTCCTCGCGCCCACCAGCGAAATATTCTCTAGACATCTATCCTGTATGAATCGTTATTTCCCTACGAGCTACAATTATCCATTCTTCCTGTTTTTCAGTGGGTACGAAGCAAACGGTTTGACTACCCCGTGCTTCCCCGCCACCACTCTACCATCGAACCGCCCTACTGGGTTCCAGTTGCGAGAGATTTCAGTCGCGTCGCTCTACCTGTGATCACAACGACTACGCAGGAAATTAAGATGGAGAAGTTAGTCGTTTGTATTCATTTAAATGTAAAAAGCCAGCCCCTTCCGCTCACTCACTAACAAGATCAAAGGCCATTAAGTTTCCACAATTAGGAAACCGCCATTATAATCACCACAATAATTTGCTGTCTAGATAACGGCTTTACCCACAAATTTACATGTAAAGCTGTGTTTGATGCCAGTAAAGGGGCTTTGCGAGCAATTCACCGGACTCCCCTGCCCAGGTACGACGCATTTACAAGGCTGGCAGCAGGCACGTTTGCCGACAGAGGCCCCAACTTCCATGGAGAGTTCGATTGAAACATGTTGGCATGTGGCTAAGTGAAAGTAAAGGCGTCATTTCCGAGGCACGTGACACGATGCGTGAGTTATGGGTGTTGACGCGAGTAGACAGGGGCCCTTGGGGCGAGGCGAATGAAGGCAAGCACCCTATTTGAAGACAAATGAATGCGTCCCCAACGACATCACTGTCCACATTCTTCCTCCCTTCTGCTACTACGGAGACAAGCGCTCAAAACCTGGCCTCAACCAGCCTGGAAAACAAAGGACTTGACAGGCATGAATTTCTCTACCACACCACGTACAGGTCCTCTGGTCCTTGGCGAGCCCGGGAGTCTCAGAGGGGTGCAACTCAATTACTCCCCCAAATAGAGGACATTAAGTCACAGCTTCGACAATTTTGACGTTTCTGACGCGTTACAGGGCTATAGTAATGGGCAATTGCGCGTACGGGAGAGTTTTGCGCCGAAGAGAAGCCATTTTTGCGACCAGGTATGTACTTTTGTGGCTTTGGAACTTGATCTGACGAGGGATGCGAGAACTAGCGTATACGATAAAGCTCGAATCACATTTTAAATCTCTTCTGCCGTATTCGGCTTGGTGATCAATGTGAAAACATTTTGAGCGGGAGAGCGGGCAACATTTCTTCAATTCGTTTATTTTTTTTCCAATTTCTAACTTGCATTTGTGCAGGAACCTCCTATCCTCATGTCTCGTCGCCTTCTTTCTTCTACGTTGCAACGATGGGAATGTTCAAGCGTTTCAAAGTGTAATACCTCTTAAATCTTCACGAGGCATCATACTTTCCGCTGCACCTCAAAGCTCTGTACCTGCCCCAATCGGAGTCACCGCGGAGACGGTCACCTTCCCTAATACGGGGTTGTCCATGGAGGTCCTCAGCGCCAAATCACACTCCTCGTCCTCGTCCGGTCCCGACAACATACTGGCAGCCTTGTCTTCATTTTTTTGGCCCAAAGTCCGCCGTAAGCAACCGCTGGTTTTCATCCACGGATCTTTTCATTCTGCCTGGTGTTGGGCCGAGCATTTCCTTCCCTTTTTTGCAGCACGAGGATATGACAGCTACGCTATCTCCTGTCGGGGCACCTTTCCTTCTCCGTCACCCAATCAAGAAGCAAGTATAACCATCAATACCCACGCGGCAGATCTGCGAGACTTTCTGAGGGTTGCCTTCCCTCCTAGCGAGCAAGACACCCCTCAACCGATCCTCATTGGTCACTCGTTTGGCGGAGCCATCCTCCTCAAACTGCTTGAGCAGCCCACCCCCTCGCCACTGAGGGGCGTCGCTTTTCTGTGTTCCGTTCCTCCCTCTGGAAATGGTCCGATGACTGCTCGCTTTCTCAAGAGAGATTTCATCCTCGCGCTGAAAATCGTCTTGGGCTTTGTGGCCAAGAAAGGGGCAGAGTGGGACTGGCTGTGTCAAGAGCTCTTCTTCAGCCCCTCGCTTCCTCCTGACTTACTTCGAAAGTACAAAAAGAGGCTGAAGAAGGACTCTGTGGTCGGCATCGATGTTAAGGATTTCCTCAAGGAACTGCCGGTCTTGCGCGCGGACGGGGCGACAGGGCAGGGCCGATGGGTGAAGGAAGTCCCGTCTCGTCTCGTGATCGGTAGGGGGGAGGATTGTCTTGAATATTTGGAAAGAGGTCTCGTTACCCGGACACTCGACAGCTTGTTGATGGCATAATCTAGATTCGAATCAAAAGTTGCGTGATGGTCTGCAGTTATCACCAGGCATGTGAGGAGGCTTCCCTGAGCGTGGGACCTAATAGATCCTGCATTTTTATTTCCCTTCCCGAGCACTTTTATTTCCCTTCCCGAGGAGTGTCTCCCTCGACTGTGGTCGGCGTTCTGTT